CTAGAGATGAAAGAAAGAGGAAGAGCACTGACAGAGGATCAGACGGTGACAGCTCAGATGAGGAGGAGGAGGAGCCAGTTCCTCCAGTTCAGCACCAGCCTGGTCAGGGGATGCACTATGGTCTCCTTGAGACACGTCTGCCCAATGTACCCTCCTATGTTCCCAGAGTTGATTACAGAGGAAAGGGTATGACCAGGAGAGCTAGAGATGAGCGAAGGGTTGATCCGAGGGGCTTACCTAAGGTTCAAGACGATCATCGCTTCTGCATGACCTTTCACCGGATTTCTACTCCAAAGTGTGATTCTCACCAGAACCCCGTGATTGCTGTGTCTCGATGGATTGACTGGCAAGACATTACTGAGAGTTGCGTAAGGCCTCGATTGATCATGCCATTGCTATTTGCCCGGCAAGACTGGGCTTATGAGATCATGGAGTTCCAAAGATGATGGAACATGAGGTAGTAGCTCAGTTCTATGCTACTCGCTTGTTGAGGAGGATGAGCGGCGGATGCACTTGGATGCTTGAGGGCCAAGCAGGCAGTTGTTGACTATGATGTTTTTGCCGCCAGACTTGGCTTCTCAGAGGATGATCTCCAGAGGGACAGGATCCACACCGAAAGGTGTGTTACCCCTCGAGCAAAGCTTGCATATATGTATCCTCCGGTGGTGAGAGAGGAGCTGTGGGGAAGGTTCTAGGTCTTCACCCTACCTACATGATACCTGGACGGGATGTTCGGAAAGACTATTGACGCAAGGGTGGAGATAAGGGCAACATTGCAGATTATTTCGTGAACCTACTCCACAGATGGCACCCGATGCTCGGCCCTTGGCGTGTTTGATTTTATTTGGTCCGAGATCGAGTGTTGGAGAGAGGCCCCTCAAGGGCTGTGGTTTTGCTCCTTATATCATGCATATGATTGAGCGGTGGACTGGGCACACTTTCGAGTATGATAAGATTCACAAGGCCCTGAAGATTATTGCAGATTTGCCTGAGATAGGGTTACCTCCAGCAGACCGTGGAGGAGCAACAAGAAAGCACTGTAAGCAGATGCACCTCGACGTGTCCCAGATTTGTCCAAAGAACTGTAAAATTGTTGTTCTCGGGTTGCTTGTCGGGAGTTCCGACGAGGTCGGAGTTCCGGACGGTCGGGAGTCCCGGCATGGGTCGGGAGTTCGGACGCCTCGCACTTCAACAGACTTAGAGGTTTCATCGTCTCGGTCATCTGGGACGTGTCCGTATTCACACCGGACGTGTCCGGTATGGATGACCGAAGCCAACGGCTAGTTTTCAAAAGCCGTGAGGGTCGGGAGTTCCGACATGCGCCGGGAGTTCCGACATGCGCCGGGAGTTCGACACCTCACTAACTAACTTTCTCAGTTACATGTTTTTCAAAATTGCTGAGGGTCGGGGGTTCCGACTTGAGTCGAGAGTTCCGACGGTCGGAAGTCCCGGCATACTTCGGGAGTTCCGACGCCTCACAACATCATCAGAATTTAGTTACTGCGTTATGCTTGATCTCGAGTCATACCGGACATGTCCGGTATGCATACCGGACGTGTCCAGTATTGCAACGGCTATAAAACGGCTAGTTTTTCAAGGGGGCTATAAATACCCCCAAGCCTCCATCTTTGGAGGCTGCTGATTCTATTGAGATAGACACACGCTTTTTAGCCTTGCCAACTCTCCTAAACCCTCTCTTAGTGAGTGTGTGATCCAAATTGCAAAATCAATTTGTGGGTTGAGAGAGAATTTTAAAAGAGAGCAAGCCACCACTTGAGCACTTGTGCATATTGTCAATCTCGTGATTCGCATTTGTTACTCTTGGACTCTTCTGGGCCCTAGACGGTTAGGCGTCACGGAGAGCAACCGAGAGATTGTGGTTGCCGGAAAGTTTAGAACGGTCGATTCCGCCTACCGGAATCAAATTAGTGGAAGGAGGAAAAGGAGTTGAAAAGACTCAGCTAGAGTGACCTTCGTGGTACCCTCTAGGGCTGACCTTCGCTGGGTCGTCCGCAGCCCCCTCAACGGAGAGTAGGACTCGAACGAGTCCGAACTTCGATAAAACAAATATCGTGTCTAAATTCGCATTTCATTTGATATTTGTGTTGCTCTAGCTGTTCTGCAGGTTCTCTGTGTATATTGTCATCTCCATTAGGTGCCTGCAGTTTGGTTTGAAGATGACGTCATTGTCGTGTCTAAATGCTTTGAAGAAGGTGCCGGTGAAGCCGTCGGGGCCCGGGGCTTTGTCGGACGGCATCGAGTTTATCGTGTCTTTGATCTCCTCCCGTGTGAAAGGCACTTCTAACTCCGAGAGATCCCGCGGGGTGTATCCCAGAGATTGCCAATCTAAAGTCATGGCTCTTTGGGCCGATGTGCCCAAGTGACTCCTGAAATAATCTCCGGCCACTTTTTCCTTCTCCTCATAGCTGAAAGCCATCCCCTCATCTGTTTGTAGGCAGTGGATATAATTTTTTCTACGTCTGGCGCTTGCTCTTATGTGGAAGAATTTTATGTTGGCGTCTCCACAGCGGATATAAGTGAGCCTCGATCTTTGCCTTATCCTTGATTTTTCAATTGCCGCAAGTCCGGTGCTGCGAATTTTCAGACGTCGTCGCAAGTCCAACTCTTGGTCTGTGAGTGTCCTGGATTCCTGCGCCATTTCCAATTGCAACAAAACCTCTTTTATTATTGCTAGTTGCAGTTTGGTGCCCCTATCTTCTCTCTATGCCATCTTTTAATACTTTTGGCCAGCCTTGCCATTTTGATATGGAGGTGCTTGAGAGGAAGCTGTGAACTAACCGGCCGGCCCCAAGTGGCTTGGACCATCTCGTGGAAACTGGGCATGGTGGTCCAGAAATTCTCAAACTGGAAGAATGTGTTGGGGCGATGGTCGAGGTCACCTTGCAATAAAAGCGGTGTATGGTCCGACATGAGAGACGGCAAGGAGTGAAGGAAGCAAGCTGGGAACAACAAGTCCCATTCGAGGGTGCAAAAAATTCTGTCAATTTTGGTTAGCGTTGGGTTTGCCTGTTCGTTGCTCCACGTGAAGCGACGACCATTTAATTTGACCTCTTTGAGCCGCAAGGCATCTAAGGTTGCCTTGAAGGAGTTCATCAGACGCCGGTTGAGGTTGGAATTATTTTTTTCCTCCGCTTGGTAGATAAGGTTGAAATCTCCCAAAATGAGCCATCTGTCGTGAGCGGGAGGGGGGACGCTTTTTAGTTCTTGCAGGAACTGAATCTTTTCCTCGTCCCTTTGTGGTCCATAGACCACAGTAATTTGCCATTGGATCCTGTCCGCCCTCATGGTAATTGTCACAGTGATAGCATTTGTGGACGACTGGATATCTGATAGATCAAAGAAATCCTCATTTACAGCGAGCAGGATACCCCCTCTAGTTTGTGCCGCTGGCAAAATAGCGAAGGAATTGGTGAATTTTGGACCTACCGTTCGACTTACTGCACCCTGGTACATGCTTTGAAGCTTTGTCTCCTGGAGACAAACAATTGTGGCACCTGTGTCTCTTACCAGTTCATTGACAGTGACGACAGTTCAATCAAAATTGCTTATCATCTCTCTTTGGTATATTACTTAGTTATCATACAAATACCCTGTTAATGTTATCTGTCTCCGGTGGTAATAGCTATAATAACCCTGTTAATGTATTCACAGTTCCCCTTTTTTTAGAGTACAGTTCCCCTTTGATTTTATCGCATCTCCATGTGTGCTTGAATGTATTTGATTGAAACATTAGCTTGAGCTATATATGTGCTTGGTATGGAAATAGATATCATTGTACCTTGCATAAATGTATATGCGTTGTGAATGCTGATACACCTAATGCATATATGACTTGAGTCAATTTCTCAATATTAAAAATGGTAGAAATCACATGAGGAGGCGAATATATGGCTGGGTTGGTGGTATTGCTCATCATATAAAAATAGTTCAAAAAGTATTCTACAAACTTATTTCTTCTTATAAATGACTTCACACGAGACATTCAACAAATCTAACTCCTTGAAGTTCATCCCTTTCATAACAAGGAATTAACCCACCTCAAAATTTCTTAGACTTATTTGATGTTTGGTATTCTCGGAAAGATCAAAACTTTCCTATCCTTTTCACTGATAGGTGAAACAGCCATTTTATGGTTAATTTAGATAATAAAGAACAACATTGTCTTTTTTACAAATGCCAACCTAAATGTTTTTTTTGCAGGTTCTATTCAAGGGGATCCATTCGCTTTGATTCTGGGCTCAATTGCAATGGCATGAGGACCGACGAGCGCTTGTGGGCTTGTAAAAAATTGGAGACCGTGGCAATGAGGTTCTTTGCTCCTTATGGATGGCCTTCAAGATCTAGAATTGGGTTTTAGCTTGAACTTGTTTATGGTGTTAATTAAGTTGTAATAAGTTGGTTTGATTCCTCTTTGATGCAAATACATTATCTAAAAAAATGCATGCATCAGTTCTCTCTCAAAAAAAAAAATGCATCTTCTTTACTTGCATGGAAAGTAGAAAGCATCCAGAAACTCAAACTCTAGAATTGGAATATCAAGCTAGCTTGGTAAAGGATAGAAATATAACATTCTTAGTCACAATATATATGCAACTTATTTTCAAATAATATTCATATTCAGTAGCGAGAAATACATTGCACATCCCCGTCACCAAATACTGCTACATAATAACAAGAACCGACATAAAGGATCAAGTTAGCTATATAGCTAGTTGATAGTTCTTTACGGGACTTACACAAAGATCACTCATGTATCACTATAGGCCACATGCGTCCTCTAGGAATTCCTATAAACCCTTAAGTCAGCAGATTACAAGGTTCAGACAGCTCAATAACTTCAATTCCTATTGAGATGACAACTTGACATGTATGAACAGAACTGAGAGCTACTCCAAGCTAGGCTAAGGAATAATGCCAATCTTATGTATATACAGGTTATCCAGTACGCAGAATATGTAACTGTAAGAGTATTCTTGAATTCATATATGGTACGGAATCGATGAGGTCAACGAGTAGGGGATCCGGGTAACTGCAGCTGGTTGTTGCTGGAGCTTGTGGATGTCCTTGACGATGTGAAACACGGCTTCGGGTTGTGCTAGCTTCAGCGCGTTACGTGAGTATCTCTTGAGCTCATCCTCTTCTGTACTGAACCAGCGCGCAACCTGTCTTGCAGCCTCCCTTGGGTCCTTGGAGAACACACCGGCACCGTTGCCCACGACATAAGGCACGTTTCCAACTTCCTGCATAATAAGAGCAAAAGCTGTTGATTTGCAATTCTTATACACCGATGCAAAGAACCAATTTACAGAAACAATTTAGGGTAAGGTATAAGAAAAGCCAATAAAATACAGAAACAGTCACTCTCAAGTGGCCTACATGCTTGTAGAACTAGTCAGCCACCTAACTTAAGAATAATTTCAGTAAACCAAATTAGTGATGCTGCCAGTTGATGGGGTAGTAGAGCTGTAGAGGCTGGCTGAAAATTCCACAATATATACTGAAACAACAGACAGAGGTACACTGACCTGTCCAGGGATGAAGTCGTTCAGGATAATAGGAAGTCCTCTTATAAGTGCCTCTGCAATTGTACCAGGACCAGCCTGCAAATGCCAGAAAAACATGCATGTCATTCAGTCAGTGCAAAATACTAACACTGCAAGCAAGCAATTAGTACTCCGAAATAAACAGTCATCAGATCAGATAAAGCATCACAAGCCAAGGACAAACTTTTGTGATGATGCAATCGCAGGCGGCCATCCACTTCTCCATCTGTGTTTCGAACCCTCTGATCTGATGAACGAAGACAAAAAGAGCTTGAGACGTCAGGCAACCACAACCAGCAGTTCCAATTCCATCCAAACCGTAAAAATGCAGAGGTATCCATCCATCCGAAATGCGCATCTAAACAAGGCATCCTCATGCTCTAGATACGGCATATTCATTCTCATGCAGACATGCATGGTACCTACCTTGACAGGGACCTTCCATCTGAGGGACTGCAGGGTGGACCGCAGCGCCTGGTTCCTGCCGCATATGACAACGACCTGCCCCATCCGGCGCCGTCTCCGGTGCTCGTAGAGCTCCTCACCGAGGGCCCTCGCGGTCTCCTCCACCGGACCCATCCCCTCGCCGCCTCCCATCAGCAGAACAGCGGGCAGCCGAGGATCCAGTCCAAGCTCTTTCCTCACTTCATCCTGTGAACCATGCGAGCCAGCCAGCAGAGGTAAGGTAAAGTAAGCCGTCGGCCGCCGGCGTCCCAGGCAAGGCATGACAAGGCAATGCAGGTCGATCAGAATTCGTACCTTGTCGAGCACGGCGCGGCAGAAGGAGGGCCGGATGGGCAGCCCGAAGACGCGGACCTGGGACGGGGCGAGGCCGCGCAGCAGGGCCCTGTTTGCCACTTCGGCGGACGGGCAGTAGCACCTTGTCACGCCGTGGTGGAACCTGAACCAAACCGATGTCAGCAAGACTATCTAGAAACTCCTAGTTGGCAAATGGCGAGGCTGATGCACAACACTGCACTGCACAGGACGAGGAGGAGGAGAAGCAAGCACGGTGGTGATTAGTGGTTAACATGCATGTGCGTACCATGTCGGGTGGCAGGTGTTGAGGTCGGTGATGACGGTGACGAAGGGCACCTTGGGGTGTAGGCTCTGCCACTTGAGCACCCACAGCGGGATGTGCTGCATCAGCGGGTGCACGCTGATGATGATGTCCGGCTCGTACTTCATGATCCCAGCCACCACCTCGCTGCATCCATTTGCAATTGCGTCGATAACAATAACTCAGAACATGTGCATCAGGGATGAATTGAATCAGTGAGAAAATTAAACTAAACAAGAAGACCAGCAGCAGCAGCAGCAATGGTGTATGATCAGGCAATGCAATGCTGCGGCTGTCGTCTGTCGAGTTAAGCGTACGTACTTGGCGTAGTAGTAGGCAAGCGCGGCGAGGTACATGCCGTGCACCCATCGCGGGGAGGTGCCGTGGAACGCCACCTTCCAGAGCCTCACGTGTCGGATCATGAACTTGTACGACCGCTCCATGTCGTTCAGCGGCCACCCGCCGTACTCCTTCCCCAAATCCGTCACGAACACCTGCGCCAAGCAATCCAACCAGCAAACTAATCTATCGACTTCATATTTCATCCATCCTTTATTTGTTTTGTTAGGGGAAAACTCCAAAATGTTCGCTGAAGAATTTGGAGCTCGATCGTCGATCGATTTCTTCTTCTCGAAGAAAGAATTCAAAAGAGTTCGAAAGGACTAGGAGCATTGGGCGGGCAGGCAGAGACGACGACGAACCTTGTAGGCGTCGCCGAACTCGATGCGGAAGGCGTCGCGCAGGGCCTCAGCCGAGGCGCGGTGGCCGCCGCCGGTGTCGCTCATCAGGATCAGCACGTTCCTCGCCGCCTGCTTCTGCTTGCCGCCGCCGCCGGCGGCGGAGACGCGGGTGGGCTCCTCGGAGAGCGCGGCGGCCAGGCCATCCCCGGGCAATCCACCGCCACCGCCCCCAGCCGCGCCGTCGTAGAAGGCGCAGCGGAGGGGCTGGTACAGCTGGCGCCCGCCGCCGCCGAGCACGCCGCCCAGCACGGCGTCGCGTATGGAGGTGGAGCGGCGGGGAGTGGCCACCGAGATCACCATGGCGGGCTGGCGGCGCTGGCGCGGGTTGCGGGGCCTAGGTATTCGAGCTCGGCGTGGACGGAGCCTCGCTGTTGCACACACGCGCGGCGAGAGCGCGGCGTGCAAGGCGGCGCGCGTGGAGAAGGTGGCGAGGCGTGGGAAGCAGGGGAAGGAGAGAGGCAGAGACAGAGGAGATGCTGCTGAGATGGATTACTTCTTTCACTTTGGTACCTCGTCATCTTGCTTATTATTTCTTTCTGGCGAACGGTCCTGGAATCAAACGCGTAATATTCCCTCCTAGATACTGGAATTATCCTCCAAGGCTATGGCATAACGTGACTTAAGAAATATTTGATTTGTCCATTTCACGAGCACGGAAATGTTATTTCGTAACGAAACATGACGCTTTGTTTCTCATTTTGAACGAGGAAATATCTTTATCAGTATGATAAAATTTTGTGTTGCTAGCCGAAACCAGTACATGCCATTTTTGTATGTATTTGATACTTCCGTTTCACAAGCACAAATATTTTTTTCGAAACAAAACATGGTGTTCTATTTCTCATTTCAAATGAGAAAATCCCTTCATCAATATGTAAAATTTTGTGTTGCTAGTCTAAACCAGTACATACTACTTAAGTCCCCCTTTGGAACACAGGTGAGAAAACACATAAATATGGTAGAAATGCATGTGCAAACCTAAATAATTGTGTAAGATTATGTGTTAGGGTGGGTACAGAAAAAACTAAAAAATTTTAAATAAATATTAAGAACCAATTCATGTTACTTCTTTATTCAACACTACTACTTGATTAGGATAAATAAGAAGTAACAGAAATTTCCTTAAGAACATGATACCTTAAGAACAAATTTTCTGTAAAATTATGTGTGTGGCAGGGTACAAGAATAAAGTAAAAAATTCTAAAGGAATCTTAAGAACAGTTTAAGAACAAAACACAGGAATGTGGTATCCTGTCCTAGCAACTTCAACAATTTAGCTATTCTTGTTTTGAAGGCTATTTTAGCATTATTATAGCAAAAAGTTAGCTCCAATAGATATGCTATCCGGCTTTGTAAAATAGCAAGCCGGCTATTCCATGATTTTAGGTGGTCATATAAAGGCAACCAGGGCACTAGCTATCTAAAGATGAGAAATAGTAAGGTTATTGTAGACCTCTTCTTTTTTGAGAAGTTTTTTATTTTAAAAAATGGCTAAACTATGGAATTTGGTCACTCATTTTAGCCAAACTTGTTTTCCTCTCACAACAAATCAGCGAATAGTACTTTTTAGCCTGGCTTTTCAACAAAGCAAACAGGGTATTGTTCGTCATTGTTCCTTGTGCTTGTGCATATGGAACCAGAGGGAAGGGAATTTTTCCTTTAGTTTTCCTGTGACATATTCTTATCAACCAAAGGCTGCTACAAGAAATAAATTCTTTAGAAAGTGAAATTCTACAGTCAAATTTCTCCTTTTTTATACATAGGTCGTCCATTTGGCTTATTTTAACTATATGAGATCCGCACTTTGACACCTGAAACTCCGTTACGAGTAGTCTTACTATGCATTTGAACATTGATGTCAGAAAGGATGCCTACCCTGGTCTGGGCCTATTTTGGGTTCGGCCCATCCACGTGGGCGGGCGGGCGATCTGTTTGCTTCCTTCCTCAATTCAGCTCTTTTTTTTTTTGGCTGACAGCGGCCACCGCCCATCATCGTCCTCTCAATTCTCATCGGTGATCGGCTCATAGCACTCCAGTCGACCTTTTTTTTTTTGACAAGACCACTCCACTCGACCTTGCATAAATGCATAGTTGCATCGCATTGGATTTGGTTTGGTTTTGGTTGGAGCAAGTTCGTTTTGGCGGGTAGCGTTGCAGTGGCAGGCGAGCACAGAGGGGATCGGAGAGCATCAATTCCATCCACCTTGCTGGGGTGAGTTGGCCAAGAAGGCCGGCAGCAAGAAAGAGGAGGACAGATGGTGCCCTGCGCCCAGCAGCTGCAGCTGCCCACCGCTCCTCTCCGTCAAGCGGGCAGGATTCCGCATCGCCGCAGCGGCCGTACCATCGCCGCCATGATCTCCGCCTCCGCCTCCTCCGGCACCCCCAACCCCGTCGTGGTACGGTGCTGATTCCCTTCCCTTCCCATAAGGCTAGGTTCCGTCCTCCTCTTCCTCCGTCTCGGCCTCAGCCCCTCCTGCTCCTCTCCCGTTTGCAATGTGCTTCTGCAGCTCGGGTGCGGCGGCATCTCCGTCGACTACCTGGCCACGGTGGCGTCCTTCCCCAACCCCGACGATAAGATCCGAAGCCTCGCCCTCAAGTTGCAGGGGGGCGGCAACACTGGCAACGCGCTCACTGCAGCTGCACGCCTCGGCCTCCGTCCCAGGATCATCTCCAAGGTCCATTCTTGATTTCCCTCTCCCTTCCCTTCAACTGGATGCAGCTAGTCAACGCATCACCTTGCTCTAATGCATAAAAGAATCCATCCATCCATCCATTCCGTCGGGATCAGGTAGCCAACGATGCTCAAGGAAGAAGCATCCTCAACGAGCTCCAATCTGATGGCGTCGACACATCCTACATCCTGGTGCGAATTGCTATCCCTCAACGATTCAGTGCCAATCACTCCGGTGCTAATATCACTGTCCTCAAGAATGCTGCATCCATCCTCTTTTTTTTCAGGTGGCAGAGAACGGGAATTCACCATTCAGCTACATAATAGTTGATGAGCAGACGTGAGTTCACTTGACAAGCTCCCTCTCTTGTGAACGTCCCCTACTTTTCATCCTGGAACAGGGATGCCTTTTTATTTAGCCCAATTATCTTACTGAATTATATTCGAACATCCCCTTTTGACTTTTAGGAAAACTCGTACATGTATACACACTCCTGGTTCTCCGCCCATGGTACCAGAAGAGCTCACAAAGGCAAACTTGTTGTCCGCTTTAGACGGCGCGGACATCGTCTACTTCGATGTACGATTGCATGACACTGCTTTGCTTGTTGCAGAAGAGGTAATTTCTTCCAGGCACAATCCCTCTTAGTGCACAAGAACAAAACAAAATATAGTCCCCTATTTCTGTAGTTTTGATTGCAAATAGCTTATAATAAATAGATATGGCTTGGAATAGGAAAGTTGTTTTTATTTTCTCCATGTTGTCAGCCTACAACTTCTGTTGCATTAATGCCACGCATAAGCCTTTTTATGGTTCGTTTTCTCCTTTCTGTACTGCTACTGAGACTGACCTATGTTTATGGAACAATCCAGTGCAGGCAAGTCAAAGAAAAATCCCTATTTTAGTTGATGCTGAAAGAAAGAGGGAAGGGCTGGACGAGCTTCTTAATTTTGCATCTTATGTTGTATGCTCAGCAAAGTTTCCTCAGGTAAGCTGTTGGATTGCAGAAGAGCATAAGTGCATTAGCTCAAGACATGCCCAGTTTACTGTAGTCAAGTTTTACTATAAATACATTGTTTTTTTACTAGCTTCTCCTTGTAGCAATGAAAACCACTTACATTTCCTCTGGCTGAGGCAAGAATTTTCTTTATATACTTCTCATGGTGTATGGCCCGCTTTCATATTATTTATGATGCAAAAGTGTGTTGGCTTTGCTTTACTGTAATCTAGCTTAGAGTGGTAACTGTAGTTGGATTAGCATAATTAAATCAGGTGGTTGGCAACAAAATTTCATTGTGCTGGATATTTTGGAATTCACTAAGGCTTTGGCCTTTGGCATATGTTTACCACTTTCAGTTCTCTGGTATCTTGTTGATTAGTGATTACATTCTTTCCACCTGATCTAAATTTGTAGGCTTGGACAGGAGCCTCATCAACACCTGTTGCTTTAGTATCCATGCTTTCAAGGTTACCAAACATCAAATTTGTTATTGTAACTCTGGGGGAGAAAGGTTGCTTAATGCTTGAGAGAAGCATGACAGGTTAGTTTACCGTAGCTCTATGTGTTAATGTTAGTTAAGTATATTAGATATGACAAGGATACAGGGGATTATGTATTCTATCATCAAAGGATCCAGTGATATTTTTTTTCTTCTTTTTTGGAAAAACACACACATGTTGCAGATGCTTCTGAAGCAGGGGAAATAGATGCAGAGGCTTTATTCGAATCACTAGAGAAGAAAGTTGACCAGAGTTCCAATATACCAAAATGCATTGCTTCCAAGGTATGATGCCTTACAAGTTACAATGCATATGGGCTGGGTGTATTTTTCCACATATAGCTACATTCCTCTATCATCTTGAACTATATCTAGAAATATAATCACAGGGTTGGAGCTGCAATACACTTTTTTGGTTTCAAAATTAAAATTGAAATAAGGGGCATCACCGCATCAAAATCTCTGCTTCTAGACTAGCACATCTTTTGGAGTATATCAGTGGCAATCTGTATGAAATTATTGAGTCATTATGCTCACAATTTTGAATAGTATTTTCCTAATCCATTTCTTTATGCTTCTGTTTGTTTTCAGCCAAACTTGAGAATACGCGCAGATGGAGTAGGCTCGATAAGTGGCAGGTTACTTCTAGGTACTGCTGAAGTTATACCACCTGGTGAACTTGTAGATACAACTGGTGCGGGAGATGCATTCATTGGAGCAGTTCTATATGGTCAGTGTGCGACGTTTCCTTTTCGACGCCACATATGACTACAAAAACTGGTTCTTCTGTTTATTGCTTCTATTTTGTTGGTGAAGCTAGTCAACTTCCTTTTTTGAAATCAGTTGTGTCAAGCTAAGCAATTAGTTTCCTGTGTTATGCCGATATAATGGTCTGTACCAAAGTTGTTGAAGTTCTGGTTACATAATGCTCTTTCCATTAACCTAGTAACTACTGATGACTACAATACCAAAACAAATACAGTACACGACCTGCTTGCATCTGATTGTTGTTTCTTTGTGATCTCAACCAGAAACACTTTGTTTAGTTATAAATTTGATTACTGAGTCAGTTTTGAAATGTTTACTATGTGGACTAATTGTTTTGTTCTTTTGGACTAGGTTTATGCACTGGCATGCCACCAGAGAGGATGCTGCCTTTTGCTGCACAAGTGGTAAGGCACTTTTTATTAATGTGGTCTCTGTTGATCAAACTAGTTAAAGAAGGAAGTTGCCACTAGTAATTGCGCATTGCAATGCATGGCTGCTGCTTACTTTGTTCTTGTTGACTCTCAAATTTGATGCCCCCTGGTGATGTGATCATGTCCGAACAATTCTCTTATAAATCAAAGTGTTTGTGCAAAATATGCAGGCTGGTTGCGGTTGCAGAGGTTTGGGGGCTCGAAGCAGCCTTCCCCATCGCACAGATCCACGCCTGGCTGGCTATTGATCTGAATTCAGCAGGACTGCATCCTGTTTGACCACCTGCCTGCACCCGTCCAATGGTTCTGAATATTCCAATAGGATCGGATACAATAAGATGCATAGCTTGTAAGAAAGCAGATTGCAGCAGTAGCTATTAGCAGCACATCAAGACTATGTTAAAAGCCCCTGAAAACTAGAGGTTTATTTCCTTTGTTTACCCATATATTATTATTTTGCGGAAGATTATGTTGTTCCGGAGCCCTGATTTGATTTATAGTCATATATATACGGCCCATTTGGTGGTTAGGATCCTAGTGTGGAGCCATCTGACACAATAGCATGGATGCTAGAGTAGTTCGGAAGCTAGTTCACAAGTTTCCTAACTTTGATGTATGCCATGTAATGTACTGTCCAAGAGTCAGCATCAACTACCAGCCTGTTCGCTTGTTTGTTTCAGTCAGGGCTTATCAGTCAGTGAGCAGTGTTTTTCTCTCACAATAAACCAGCACCAGCCGGGTTTATCAGCCCAGAAACCAATCAGCAAACAGGCTGTACATCAGTTTGCCTCAAGCCTGTTGTGTTTGACTCGAGGATTTTCCATAGCCTGTTTCACATACTGTAACCAACGATTGAGTTGAGCTGGGTTATTGTTGCATCTTCCATTAAGGGCTTGTAAACTGGTAGTGGATCTCATGCATTGAATTGCATTCTCGAGACAAGTTTAACAAATAACTTTGGATATAAATCTCTACAGTTGGGGCTCACCTGCTTTTTTTAAGGTTCAAAAAAAAAGGTGAATTGTCAAAAATGATACAAAATCTGATTGTCACGAGGTCTGCCCTAATAAAAGTTAAAGGTTGAGTTATGAAAATGATACAAAATTGATTGTCACGAGATCTAGAATTTTTCAAAAAAAAATATTAAATTTTCTACCAATAAATTTTCCACCCAAATCTTCTTTCGCAAACCCATGTTCAGGCTTTTGCATGGTTGGCCCAGTACCGATAAGGAGGTGGCATTTAAGCCACATACAGCCCACGCGCCACAATCTTTCACCCGGCCCACGCGGCCCGAGCAATGGACACATGAATGGGCTGGCAGCCTGGCACACTACCCAGCCCATGTAGCCACGTCGTTCTGCGTGCAGCTCATATAAAAGGCACCCCCGTATCCGGTAGGGTTTTCTTCTCGCGCCGCCGCGGTACACCACCCAGCCGAATCCCCCACCCGTACCCGGAGCAGAGGAGAGATGGCGGAGAGGAAGGGAGGAGCGGCCAGGAAGGAGGAGGTGGTCACCAGGGAGTACACCATCAACCTCCACAAGCGCCTCCACGGCTGGTACCTCTCCTCCTTCTCGCCACCTTGCTGCGCGCTGCACACTGTTCTCGCTGCGAGATCCGGTTCGCTCGCGAGATTTCGTTTCTCTGCAGATAGTATTTATTTTCGTTCTGCTGCAGATAGTATTTATTTTCGTTCTGCTGCAGATAGTATTTAGGTGCGGTAGCAGGTGGTGTTTTTCTATTCGATACTACTCGTAGACAAGATCTCTCGGTTCCGCAGTTCCTGGGGCTCAACTAGTGTATGTTCTATGCGATCAGTTATATTCTCTTCGTACTTTGCATATGACCACGAGGAGATGAAACAATTCGACAACGTTGCCTGCTTGCTTTGTAATTTTTATAGTGGCACTTGTTTGATATTTTCTTCATTTCATTTGCTAATTACTTGAAAGGTAAATGCAATAAGCATCTAGCACCGCCCATTTTTTCCATTAAGAATTGCAAAATTTGCTACCAGTTAGGAATCGATGGACCTGCCTTAAGAAGATATAGCCTGTATATGCTCAATTAACATTCTTATAAGGGGCCGTTTGGATCCTTTCATTTGGAGGAATTGAAATCTACTTAATAAATTAGACTATTTGGCTTGGAATTTGACATTCCACGACTTTCCAAAGTTCACATATAAGCCTATCTTAAATTCATAGGGTGGGAGATGGAAATTGATTCTATAGATCACCATTCTATGTTTCTACTTTGCAACTTATAACACGCTCTTCAACTTGCTCCCCTAAGTTAGAAATGCAACACATAAGTATCTCTCTCATATAGCCAAAAATAATACACAAATATAACCATATTAGCTTAATTAATATGTGTCTAAATTATGATTATTAAAATGAATTCAATTCCAAGGATCCAAATGGGGCCTAAGGTAAAATTTTAGTGACTGTTGGGTGCTTATATACCATGCAAGGCTTAGAAGCCTCAGGAGACTGTGCATTCATTGATTTTGGCATTGTCTGCATGAGTATAGACTCAAATAACCAAGCATGAATTGAAAGTTGGCTGCTTTGATTGCTTGTTTAGCTTATTTGTCTAGAATCAAAATCATTTGGATCCAATGTGTCCGTATATTGTTCCATTTCATTTCAGTTGCTGAATGCCTATCCAAGTGTCTTATATCTGAATGGCCTCTTCTTATTTCTGCTTAACCTTGTACTGTTATTGGAACTGAAGGTTACTGAATGCCATGGTCCCACTTTCTTCTTACCAACATTTTCGTATGTTTGGCAGCACATTCAAGAAGAAGGCACCCAATGCTGTCAAGGAGATCAGGAAGTTTGCTTGAGAAGGCTATGGGCACCATCGACGCCAGGATTGATGTGAAGCTCAACAAGCACATCTGGAGCAGCGGAATCAGGAGCGTGCCACGGAGGGTTCGTGTGAGGATTGCCCGCAAGAGGAACGACGAGGAGGATGCCAAGGAGGAACTCTACTCCCTTGTCACCGTCGCTGAGATCCCAGCAGAGGGCTTGAAAGGACTGGGAACCAAGGTCATTGACGAAGCGGATTAAGCTATCACATTCTCTACATCTTTAGAGAGCTCTTAGTTTGTATTTGCAACAGCAAACCTTTTGTATCCAAAGAAGTTTTGTACTCTGGTACTGTGATCGACATCACAAAGTTGTCTATTTCCTCAATCGAATTACATGGCTAGTTCTTTCGTTTGTGCTTTACATTCTCAGTTGTGTTCCTTGGATATATGTAAATCGTGAGTATGGTTTAGCAACTTCGTGGCTTGGAATCTCCCATTTCAATGACAGGTGACTTGTAATCTCCCATTTAAATGAAGGGTGAATTCTCTTTTAGCTGAAACATATGTCCGACAAGCTTGACTAAATTGTTGAGATTTGTTGTGAAAGATTTGAGGAACATTTGTTCACTAGTATTTGTGATGGGAATGCTAATTGATCAGCCATCACAATCCAGGTGGCAGCTGGCTGCAAATGTTGTGGGGTATTGGTTGAGGAGAAGACACCTGCATTGAGAATTTGATCAGGTCACTATGTATGATCAAACGCCAAGCTCCACATCAAGTTGCATTGAACTTAATGGATCGGCGCAATCCCATCCAAAGTAGCATCTGCAGATGGGGAGTCACCGTCGGCGGCCGCCGTCCGACTGCGATTGGTTTCCGTTGGCCCGTCACCATACACTGATATGTTAAGAATAGTGGAGACAGCTCAAAGGTAAGTGTCTCAAGTGCCCATCAAATTGTTAGGTGAAGAGAATGTCATATATCATTATACAATTGTAGCTCAATACTGCATTAGTATCTTTGCCGACACCCTACAGGCCTACACAACAGTGGCCTGGTAAACATACTTTCATTTCACAAACTTGCACCGTCCATAGTGTTATTCGTATGTATCTGAGTTTTGCTGCTATACTACAAAAGAGCTACATATATAGGATTGTGGGAATGTACTGTACAAGAAAGTGTTGCATTTTACTGTAAAGAATGCTGAAGGGCCTACGCAAATAGGGACTTCTTTTGCTCTCATGGGGCAGCTGTAGAAGAGATTTTAGGTTTTACAGGTTTATCCATCACCGTTGCTCCAACCATACTTCTCTTAGGAGTGTGTATCTTGTATTCTCCATAGAAACTCCTCTCTGAGAACTGAAATGTGCGAAACCGTTTGATGGTGAAGGTGGAGCGCTCCTGTCGATTAGGGATGCAAGGGGAGAATCCAGGTCATCAAGGTCATCATCACTGGTATACCCTCTTCTCTGCACCATTGAGGCTTTCCTGTCCAGCTTTGCGCCACCTCCTATGTCTGCCACTTTCTCTGCCGCATCCACCGTTGAAGGTGCACGGTACACTATAGGAGCAGCGATGCATGGAAACACATTGATCACATCTTTGTTGGTGTGACGCTCCAGCAAGCTCTGCATAGCATAAGTATGTATCAATGCATTTGAGTGATATTGTCAGCAAGATAATATGTATAAGGCTGGAGTTGAAAACGAGAGTGGAACAAACCTCAGAATTCAGCTCTTCTAAGACTGTGCTAGGAACCGCATCAGGGCAAAACTCATCTGGGGTGAAGTTGCACAGGATTCTTGTCACTAATTGAAGGCCAATTGAAGGGCAGACCTAAGAAAGACATTAAAAGGTTAACCACGGCGGAATTGATGGTTACATAACAAGAGGAAACAGTATAATAATTTGCCGGTTGCTATGCACAAACACTGACCTCTTTCCTGATAGATTTTTCAAGAAGCATGTCCTTTGGGAGCATCAGGAGATCACTTAGTTCATTAAGCAGTTGAAATGATTTTGTTTCAGCTCTGCCTCTTCTTTCATCTTCAACATCTCCTATGTCATCAGAATCATCATCATCTATGCCAAGCTTATCTGTCAGCCATCTGGACCAGTTTCCAATCTGCATAGTCATTTTATTTCATATAAATTCGTTGTTTGAGGTGAGGTGTAATAGCAAGATCCAATCGCATTTGTATCTAGTATTGTTCCTTAGCAAGCTACATCCTGACAAACAACTCATAACAATTACAAAAAAAAGGGAAATGGTAGTAACGCACAAAAAGCGAGTGAATCAGGCACGTACAGAGTTCTTCAGCTGCGCGCCTGACCCAAAGCTTAGATCACCAGCTGGAATTGGTAGGACTTTTGGGTCAACAATTGGGTCAGATATAGGGTCTGTTGGTATCTCACTTGCTGATTCACGAAGGATGGCATTAAACATGGCAACATCCAAACGGGCTACACATTGTTCCATCACCTAATAATGAAGAACCCGTTTAGTTCAGAAATATATTTGCAGTAACAAAAAAATGCTTATTCTTTCAAATTAAGGATTTTTTAAAAAAATACCAGTTTTGCTAATACTGGTAAACAGCCACACTCATGTCCACCAGCACGAAGGGGGCACATTCTGCTGAATGCATCGTGAAATGCAGCTTTCCACAGGTTAACAGAAAAGGTGCCCTGCTGCTGATCACCCAAAGCAGGACCTAACACTCTACCAGCCTTTGGAGTTGATGAGCCTTCCGCCCGTTTTTGCATGTGAGGAGTTAGTGCCTGGAAGAGAAACATCCTTAAGAAAACTGACAGCATGAAGAATGAGAACATATTCAGATAACACGTAGGCCATAAGAGACAGTGACTTTTTTTTTCTTAAAAAAAACACCAGACTAGGACAGGATGTTCCCAGCTTCATGAAAGTGTCAGTCAGAATGTATTGTCTAAGACAGACACTTACCTGCCACCATACTGTCTCAACAATGCGAGAAAATATCCAAGATTCGATCTTCTCTAATGCAGCCAAAAGTGTACTTGTTTCCTGCCAATCATCTGGCATCTGCATTGCAGCAAGTTTGTCTTGCTTGCCATTGGAGTTGTTTCTCCACAGCATTGTCATAGATTTCCCATCAAGTTTTTTGGCACCACCATTCATGTTCATAGTCGTCATGGATGGAGTAAATTGATGTGAAATGCCAAAAGTTTGTACAATTATCTCCCTGAGGACAACTGTGTTGGACAGCCAGAATGTCAGCCTATAACAAGAGTAGTTTGTTAGTTAGAGGATTTTGTTTGGGTATTGTTGTGCTGGAGCTAAAATTCAGATTAACTGTAGCTAAGTTATACCTCGAAGCATCATTGCTACTGGACTTTGCAACAAGAACGAGACCAGAAGCAATGCTTTTAGCTACTGAAGCTCTCTTATCTTCAGACCAAAACTTGGATGCATGGATATATAGCCTAGAAAGACGCTTGAGCTGGGGTGTGCAACTTATGTGCTGAACTTCCATGCTCGGGCACTACAGAGTACAGGGAAACTTCAAGAGCAGCAACTTCACGAAGTTCCTGTTCCAACTTGTCAATTTTCAACACTAATTCCCCATTGCCTTGACCTACAACTGATTTTCCATGATCAACTACCTTGTCTTCGATATCAGGAATTTCATCATCAGTACCAGTACTCTGATCACAGTGTGGAGCTTCATCTAACACATCGATCTCCTTGGCCTCCTCGGTGCCTTTATCATCAACAGTTCCAGCATCACTGATTATATCATCTGTTTCCTCGGACAATTCTGATGGAGGGCGGGAAGGAATTTTTGTAATTTCTGGTTTTCTAACTTCAACAGCCTTAGCAGCACTAACTGTTTTCTTTTGTTTCTGAGACTTGTTCTGTACATTGTTTAATCCTTTATGTTGCAGCTTGTTTTGAGGTTGACGGCTGGTGCTGCTTTTTGTCGTTCTGGGGCTGTTATCTTTTGTCTCCTTTTTACTGAGCTTCCTTGGAACCCGAGACTCACCTTGTGATGAAAAGGAGTCTCTAGTAGGTACATAATCTGATCCAATCCCCTTCTTCTCATCTCTTCCCTGCCCATTATCTCTTGCGCCCATTTCAGGTACTTCAAATTGTTAGAAACTTGATGCCTGCAGAAATAACAAGCACAGATGGTTAAATTGTTCTAGCAACTTTTGCAAACTGATCAGCCTTGCAAGCATGTTCAAATAAATATAATGCTGATGACACTTGGATCAGAATTAAGAAGAAACAGGAGATCCAGAAAAGGTGCTCATACTAAAAGGAGAAACCTTCATCTCATTAAAGAAAAATGTGACCAACCAAGGAGAATCAGGTGGTTTTTTTAGTTAGGTACTTGAACAAGATTGAGCGGCACTTTGGTGATCCAAGCAGCTCTACAAAATTTAGTGCTAGCTAATGAACAGTAAGGTCATCGAATTCAAAAGCTTATCTTAAACATGACTACCAATCAAAATTGCCAAAAGATGGTTACCATAGTAGAGATACGATAAAGTGGGAAAGTGATTAAATTCCCACCTAAATAGGAAAACGCACCACCAAACCACTCTAGTAGGAGTAAAGACAGTAGCATCATAGAAAAATTGCCAAACATGCATCAGAAGCCACTCCCTAGACCTTCTTTCCCACACCAATCATGAAACAATAACAGCTGCCGGAAATCACCAATCACAACCCAAAGCGGGGTAGGCTGGCCCAGGGCAGAGCCTCCTATAGCGGCAAGGAACAGGCAATTCAATACTCCGAGTACACGAGCAGCTTAAGTAGGAGAACATTCCTTCATAAATGCGGACGGAACAGCATCACCAATCCAACCAGACCGCCGCCACGAAATTCTATGGCCGCAACCACCTTGCCGGTCGTACGGGAGCGGATCCGAAGAAGGGAATAGTAGCAAGGCAACCAGGAAGCACCGAGGCACCTCGTCTAGGCGCCGGGATTCAGAAATGCGGATCGCGGACTAGCGTCCGTCAAGCGTGATCGTGTCCCCACGCGCTTGATCCGTCGCTTGAAAAAAAAAACTCAGGAGACAAGCAGATCATCAATGCTGCTGTCGCGGAACACACAAAGGTCCCCAACTCAGGTGGAGCGGCAGAGCTGCTGGTAGAATCCCTCCCCGGAATCGAGAACCGAAGCAAGGGAAAACTTCGAAACAAGTTCAAATCCAGGGCGAGGCAGTCACCGCGGCGTAACAGAGATCCGGCGGAGGATTCCGTTCCGCGGGGACAGGGCTCCTCCACACATAACAAGGGAGAGCGAAACCGCTGAAGGGAGCAGTGGGGAGAGAAGCGAAGAGCAGCGCCTCACCGTCTCCGCGTCGGCCGGCTAGGCGCAATCACCAGCAGCAGACACCAACAAGTCGCCAACCGCCGCGTGATCCAATGCGGAAGCGAGGGCGAGCGAGCAGCAGGCCGCCGGCGCGCTTCGGTTCGCGGCTGCCCGTGCGGCGTGCGGAGGGGAGATCGTGGTGGGCGGGGTGGGCGAGCGGGCGGTTGCTCCTCTGCTCTCTGCTCTGCTTAAATCCAGCGTCAGGGAGGCGAGTGTGTTGTGTGTGTCTGTGTGTATTTTCTTTTTTTCTTTTTTCTTTTTCCGGCTTGGGACTTGGCCTGGTCCGGTCACCGCGTGGTGAGATGCACGCGGGCAAGTGGGCCCTCTATTTTTTTTTATCATCAAGTGGACCCTCTTGGCTGTATCGTTGCCCTCTTCGCCGTCCGAATTTGATTTTACATGTAATTCTTTTTTCTTTTCAGGCTATTTTTTTAAAGCATCTTTTCAGGTTTTGGTTTTGAGTTTTTGGCAAGTCATATTGTCGTGTGATGGTTTCCGTATGTTTTCTTTCTTAGATTTTTTTTTGTCATTTGGCGAAGTGACACATCCACAACGACGTCTGCGGCCACGACCATGACCACGCTATGGAATTAGTTATTTTCATATATCCTCTAATTAATTGTGCGCAAGTAATATTTAACATGTGGTAAATCATATTTTGTGTAGAAAACTCCTCATTAGAACTTAGAAGTATGAAAACTTACATTACCACCAATAGCATTGCAAAAATTTGTCTTCACTATCTAGGACCGCTTCAAGTTTTTTTTTTCCTATCTAGCATTTTTGTCAGATTTTAGAGTATATCCTGTTAGGATTCCATTAACTATATATTATTTTGACCAAAATACTCTTATGGTAAGACTCTATCTTCGAAAAGTTATATCTTTTTTATATAACGCCAGATGAAAATAATTTTTATATAAAAATTATAGCTATTGACGAAATCTACAATAGTTTCGAGTTTTTCATTTGAGGTCGTCAAGATGTTAAAAAAATAATATACCTTTTCAACAACATATTAATCACGTACCAGAGCATGTTGCCTTAGAAAAATTATATCATTCTTTTATAGTGTCGTGTAAAGATATTTTTTATATTAAAATCATAGCTCCTGATAAGATCTATAACTTTTGAGTTTTATTTTTTTATTTGAGGTAATTAAGATGCTAAAAAATTGATATAAATTTTCAGTAGTATATTAATCGACTCTTCTTCTTAGAAAAATAATATCTTTCTTATATGGTGTTAGATAAAGATACTTTTTCTATGAATGTTGTAGCTTTCGATAAGATCTATAACTTTCTAGTTTTGAGTTTTTTTATTTAAATTCATTTAAATTTAAAAAAAATGCTACAAACTTTTACTAGCTTTTCATCGTGTAATGGGGCTTGCTATAAGCACTAGTACGCGCCAAAAATTTATATTAATTTTTAGCTTCTTAACGATCTCACGTGAAAAAACTCAAAACTAAAAAGTATAATTAGTCATACACAGACATAATATTAACAACTCATTAAATTGTTGTTAAGTGTGGAGACAATGCCAAATAACAATATGGGCAAACGTGTTTTTACATGGCGCACTTAACGTTAGGATGGACTGAAATGCTAGGTAGGGCACTAAAACTTAAAATTCAGTGCTATCGAAGGAAGAGGAAGTTTTCATAGTTCTAAGAGAGAATTTTCTCTATTTTTTTAAAGTTAAATTTTCTCTATTTTGTGTGCACGGCTATCTCCGCCTGCTTGTTCATGTTCTTTTTCCTCTTTTTTCCATTTTCGTTCTCTTAAACTTTTTTCCTCTCTTTGTAGTTTCTCTAGATCAAGTATAAATGCCTCCTCAAACGGATACCCATTATATCCAAGATTCATACACCGTCTTTATTTATATCCAAGATTCATACACCATCTTTATGGGAGGCACATGGTACTCCGCCCTGTTCGCTTGGCTTATAAGCCATATTTTTTTAGCCAAAGAACAGTATTTTTCTCTCACAACAAATCAACCAATAATATTTTCAACCATGGCTTATAAGACAAGCGAACATGGTACTCATCATCGAATCGGCGTGTCATTTATATAACTTTTGGCCCCTCCACATTGTCCATGTCTTTGTAAGTGATATCATCTTTAATTTGCCACGGTATTTTAAAAAACCAACCTATACAAGATTATTACATAATGAATAACCACAAAAGAACAAAGAAGCTGTCCTTCGTCAATCTCGACTGGGTCCTACCCTTCTTTATCGCCACCTTTGATTATCAATGCCCTGTTCGCTTGGCTGATAAGCCATGACTGAAAGTATTATTGACTGATTTATTCTGAGAGAAAAATATTGTTCATTGGCCGAAAAAATACGGCTTATAAGCCAAGCGAACAAGGCGCATATCATCCTCCTCTTTTAAATGTTCCTTTGAACCTTTATTCTTCTTCCAAAGTTTCTCAGTCGGGGCATCACTTTCTTCTTGAATCTTTCCTTACACACATGCAACATGCACCAAATATTTCCACTCAAAACATTCGTTCGTTTATGCTCTGTTGTTGATTACAGATCCTTTTTGTTCAGGGTGTGCGTACGTATATTTGTAGAAATAAATGTACATGCGTGTATGTAAACGTCTACGTTTGTACTTGGTTAAAAAAAAAACAAGTCGTACTTAGATGATGCACCAGATCGAAGACATTCCCTGCAAACGTGCCCAGCTCTGCTGACCTAATTACCTAAGACGATCTACCACCCTGTACGTGGAAGATGTTTCTCTTCTCCCACTTGCTCCTGTCTTGACCTCACGAAACACGACATATTCTCACACCGTCGCACGCCGCTCGTTGTCTGGCACGGCGTTGACAATATGACTCACTCGAAAACCTGGGTTTCTTGATCCCTGTAGTATGTGCTGTGCTAGCTGCAGACTTCAGAGATCAACATCTCATCACCCCGTAGAAATCTGCATTCTTGATCCACTGTATAAATTGGGAGAAAGTGGAGCTAGCTCTGTTGGTCGAGCGTGTAGATATATACCTAGGACCACCTAGGTTCAAGTTCTCGCTGAGTGCCTATTTTCTTCTTATTAATAGTAATAATGTTAATTAATATTATAAAATTTCTCATAGGTTGCTCAAGTTTTTTTACAATATAAGTTAGAAGTATCTAACAAAATATATCATCTCATATAGAAAAAAGGTTACATATTATGAGAATGTTTTTATAATTGGGCTTGTTTGGATACATATGGCTAATTACTAGTTGGGGTTAAAAATTAGCCTAAATTAGCTATAACTGGTTAGCTAGTTGGCTAACAACTAGTTGAATATTTGGCTAAAAAGTTAGCCCACTTATTAGCCCTCCTGATTGATGCACTAGAGCTAATTTTAACTAATTTTTAGCTGGCTAGCAATTAGCTCTTGTATCCCAATAGGCTCATGGTATTGTGTGCCAGTCTTATATTTAAAAAAAAAAATTGAAGAGTAGTCGTAGGTAAAATTGTTTGACTTAGGACAGACAATCTAGATGCATTATATTTTTTATCTCACAAAATAACTACAATTGTTTGTAGTTCCTAAAAAAAACTTTATCGTTTGTACATAATCACTCAGTATGGCGTCTCCGGTCTCCACATGGCAATTGGCATGGCCTTCTGTCTCCCTATAAACGCTAGGGGTGGAGCTGGACAACACTAGTACGCTATTGTTATCATCACTCACTCCATGTTCCATGCTACCCTTGTGCAGCAAACATGCGTACGTG